ATTGAGCTTTCCCTAACATCCTATGGCTGCTTTCAGGCAGGCAAGCAGGCACTTGCTCATTCCCAGATACAACAAGCCAGAACATGAGACCATCAATGCTTTCTTCTACAGCACGGGGTGGGCAGTCCAACAACAGCCAATAGGGTGCATGTCACACAGCTCTCTTCTAAGGCAAAAGAGTACAGCTCCAGATTGCTTCAACAACATGTACTGCAGGGCACAGATCCTGAGACAAATGTTAAGGAGAAAGTTCAAGAGGGAACAAAGCTAGTGCCCCATAGCAATGGCAACCCTCCACACAAATGACAGGGAATAGGCAGATAAGCCATGTAGCCACCAATTTTGATAGTGTCTCACTCACAGTGAGCAAAAATATAAACGCACACCAACTCCCATGCCATCAAAATTAGCTTGAAGCTTACAGTTTAAGAATGCGATCACTAGGCCAGCTGACACTACAATGAATCCAGGTGAGGTCACCATCCCTGTGAGTCCTAGCTGATACGATGCTGAAAATTACTTAAGACTACGCTTGTGCCATGTAGCCCCCATTTTTGATGTCTCACTCACAGTGAGCAAAAATATAAACGCACACCAACTCCCATGCCATCAAAATTAGCTTGAAGCTTACAGTTTAAGAATGCGATCCTAAATGGCCAAGGGTTTTCTGAGTTACCACTAGGCCAGCTGACACTAAAATGAATCCAGGTGAGGTCACCATCCTTGTGAGTCCTAGCTGATGGGATGCTGAAAATTACTTAAGACTACGCTTGCTCTGGCCCATCTTACAGTACGGTGGGGCTATGCCCCTGGTTTGGAGAAGATTCTGAAGTGGCATAAGTCAGCTCCTTCTTACCTTACATCTTTGTCATTCCTTTTTAGGAATTTTTTGCCAACCAACATTTGCCAGGAGACCTGTTCTGCCAGCAGATTGTTCTGCTGGCAAATCTCTAAGAGGCACAATCAATACCCAAAAGGAGTCTAGAGAGCACTCCAAACACTTATACACTTCACTGCTAGCAGAAGAGGTTTATGCATGATCCTAACTTTATGTAGCCAGCATATATATGAATTAGGACTGCATTGTAATTATTAACATTTGAAATAAAGTGCTTTAAATGCTGTTCTCCTTCCTTCTGGGGTTATGAACAAAATTTTTGTATATTCTTTTGTTTACAAATGCAAAACAGGACATTGTGAAACTGCAGGAATCCAGTGGACCCATATAATAAAAGATTTCTTGTTTGTAATGTTGTTAGGAACAAAACCATAACACTCCATTAGAGTACATTATTTGTTCTAATGATATGTTTATTCTTTATTATTTACTTTAAGCCTCATGTTTCATCCAGCTGTTCTCTCCCACACCCTCATTTATCTCACAGGACTGCTATGCGGATAAAGCACAGAGGAGTAAAAACGCATAGACTGCCTTAGAGGAAAGCTGAAAAATACATGTAACTAATAAATAATTAAAATTAAAAGGTTTCTGCTTTGCTTTCTTTTCTTTTTCCTTGCAAGGCTTTCTGAAATGTCCAAAGCAGACTGCCTCATTGGTAGGGTGTGCTCCTTGCTGCTCAGTCATATGACATGTCTCCTTTAACAAAACAAATGGATACTGCCCTGCTCTTTGTACATATCTTTTTTGTATGTTTTGCTGTTTTGTTCATTTGTTCAAAATATATAAACACATTTGCTCAAAATATATACAAAATTCAAGATATCCTAAGCTATTAATCTATACTTCTGAAATAAGAACCCATTAAAACTTATTTTTATATTAAACTTGAGTCAACCTGCAATCACATTATACCTTTATTTCTAGCTGGACTTTCAAAGACCCAAAAATCAGACTAAGGAATATAAACTGTTTCTATCTGCATTAATCTCAGAATCTCAGGCTTGGATCTGAGGCCTGCTTCTGTACCAACATTGCCTTGGTAAGGTAAAAGTTCCCCTTGACATTTAGTCCAGTCGTGTCTGACTCTAGGTCACGGTGCTCATCCCCGTTTACAAGCCATAGAGCCAGCGTTTGTCCGTAGACAGTTTCCGTGGTCACGTGGCCATCGCGACTAGACATGCAACGCCATTACCTTCCCACCATGGTGGTACCTATTTGTCTACTTGCATTTTTACATGCTTTCAAACTGCTAGGTTGGCAGGAGGTGGGGCAAACGACGGGAGCTCACTCCGTCGCATGGATTTGATCTTATGACTGCTGGTCTTCCGACCTTGCAGCATACCCGCAACGCCACCACATCCCCTGTAACATCTCCTTGAGGAAAGTCTATTTGATTCTCTTAGCAAAACATGGGGTGGTATCTATCTGGCTAATAAAAATAATAATGTTTCAGCTAGAGAGAGAGAGAGAGATGGTAACAAAATGTAAAAACCTAAGGCCAGACTAAATTAGGGGAATCTCTACCCTATGGTTTGTGTAAGAGCCCACAGAATTTCTCCGTGAAGTTTACCAACTTCTACAGGCAAGGAAAATATATTATGCCATTAGCCTCTTTTTCTGTGCACAACACTTATCTTCTGGTGACTACTGATGAGAAACAATAACTTTTCTCTATTATGTGATGAAAGAGAGACCCTTTTCTCACTGTAAAGGCAACAAACCTTCCAAGGAGAGGGAGGCTGTTTCTTCCTTCCTGGGGCAGTCTATTACTTTTCAGCATTTTGTGTATGTATTGGGAAGGTGGAACTAAACAGTCTTGGGCTGTCTAGCAAGTACTCAAGGAGCCATATGCCAGCAGCTACAAGTTTATAATGAAAACCTGTTAGAAACAGGCAGGCATCAGAGATGTAAGAGACGAGGCCTTTTGAGTCTGGAACCCAATGCTCTTTCCAGTGAGACCTCTCATAGCCCTTCTCTTTGCACCTCTAACAAGACACACCCTTAAATCCAGGATTTGCATTTTCATCAGTACATCAACTGGGTTTTAATCTGCTATTTGTTCCGTGGTTTTTGAAACATTTTCTGAGTTATCTATCATCTTTATTGGCTGCTTTTTTATTTGACCTTTTTAATGTTTAGATTCAAAAACCTGAATATGACCAACAGGCAACATGGGAACTCAAATCAGGTTTGGCCTATAATCCCATATATGGTGCCAGCTTCTTCCTGAATCCACTTATAAAGTGTTTTTAAAAAACAGGAAGCTAAAATGCATAATCACCTTTCCAAAAATTAAAGAAGCAGGCACTCCTCCATCCCACCCACATATTCCTCAGGCATTCTCCTCCGTTTTGCACCAATGCAAACAAGACCAATGCAAACTGACCAATTGTCAGCAGAAGCTAGCAGAAAGCACCCTAACCCTTTCACAGTTATGGGAGAAGAAGCTATTTCTTATGGCTGTGCAGCACCCATGTTATCCCATCCCAAATCTGAAGTCTTCCCTCCCCCCTCACCATGCTGGTCTGGAGCTGATCCTCCAAAAAGAGCTTGATGTTGGAAAGCACAGCTGTCAAGGTTGCATCCTGCAATGGGAAAGAAAGCAGCAGGCACTGAATGAGAGGAGCAGAGAGGGAGCACTCAGAAACAAAAGGGAGATATTAGAGCTGGGGTTGGAAACTAGTATCCAATGAAAGCTGAGGACTGAGATTCTCATCTGCCCCAGCCAGCACAGTCAATAATAAGGAATGAGGGGAGTTACAGCTTAACAGCACGAGGAGGGCTGCCACTTGTACCCTGGATTAGAAAGTGCTTATGTTACAGTAGTTTCTGAAGCAGCCGTCCCCCTTTTGTTGCTTTCCAGATACTACTGAACTAAATCTCTCATCATCCCCAGCCAACAAGGCAATTTTGGATGGGGATAATGGGAGTTATATCCCAAGTCATCCTGAGGGCACCTGGATGGGGAATGACTGGCCTAGGCCACCATGTAGCAAGCACCTGATCACATTTCAAGCAGTTATTTCCAAGTTTTCATTCAATTCATGCACAAACTTTTCTTACAAAAGCAATCAGGTTCCATTAATGCCCATGGCCTTAAAAAGGAACATGACAAAACATGCAATTTAGTATTTAGAGGCAAAGCTGGGCCTCTCCATGGAAGAGAACAGCCGGCTATCTGGATAGTTAAGCAAGGTGCACAATGGACCGCAAGGGAAACATCGCAAGGCACAGACACTGATGCGCTAAACGGCTCTGTGGAAGAAGAGACAGAGGAAGCCATGGGTTCAAATGGGACAGCAGTAGCCGCTCATGGATAGTGAGAAGCAGCAAGGTTCCTACCTCTTGCTCCTCCTGCGGCTCCGATTCGCTCTGCCCCATGATGGCTATCAACTGTCCTTCCAGCCCCAATCCATTAAGAATCCTACAAACAGGGAGAGAAATACAGAGTTATTCTCCAAGACTATAAAAATAAAAATTAAAACAAGCAAAAAATCCCATACATTGATCGTTTTTCTATGTTGCTCAAATTCTGGATTAAAACTAGCTGGAAATTTTGTAACTAGTTACAAAAAACTTGCTATTCATTCCTTTTCTCCAGTAATGAAGCTATAACTATACGGCATTATGGCTGTAACTTGGCGAGGGATAACTTCACTTGTTTTGTGGTGTAAGTGAGCATTTTATTTACTTTTCTAGTTGCGGGGTGGCATCTCTAAATTGTAAAGGAGGAATCTTGCTTGGGTTTAGAGAGAGATTTGTGCTGTGCCTTGTGCTGTGTTGCGAGGGCTGAAACAACAGGGCAGAGGAGGAGCAATGAGTTTTATACCACAGGCCACAAGGATTATCTTGTGAATGATCTGTTTTCATTCCTTGACAATGACAATTTAGGCAATTATGGTTGTTGTGGGTTTTTCGGGCTCTTTGGCCGTGTTCTAAAGGTTGTTCTTCCTGACGTTTTGCCAGTCTCTGTGGCCGGGCATCTTCAGAGGACAACACTCTGTGCTCTGGTTGCTGCTGTCCTCACCCAACCATTAGATCCCGGCCGTGAAAGCCTTCGCGAATATAATTTAGGTACTTTGAAAAATATTTATTGCTTTATGGAGTACCGTAAAGGGTCCCCACACCTACAGCAGCCAGCAGGTGTGCAAGCGTCTTGCCACTGGCTCACTGTGGTGGCAACTGGGCTAACAACTAAGGCTGCCAGAACTGACAGACAAGAACATTTTTGTGACCAATTACTGAAATGAACCGAATGCAGGTGCCCCAAGGGGCAAAGCAGTCCCGGGGACCCCAGAAGAGGAAGAGGAAGGCCACTGAGGCCTTCTTTAGCCCGTGGGGGAAGATCACAACTCAGAAAGACTTGAGGCAGAATCAGGTTATCACCTCAGAACAGCCCGTCAAGGAGGCACAGCAGTGAATCAAACTCCCAACCTCTGGCACTAATTCATTCTGAGTCATGGATAAACTATCCAGCAGTTCATTCATGACTCAGAAAGGAGTACAGCAGTAAGAGATAAAGGCAGGCAGGATGAAAGATAAAACTAAGAAGATAAGCCTTTCACAACAAAGAAATCCCATTGCATGGGTCTAAATACTGTAATCTTTTTCAGATTGCCATGCAGCATATCACTTCCTCCATACTGGCATCATTATCAGATCCAGTCCAAATTATGCTTCTCGCCCAGTGCCATTCACAATTTCTCAGGATGGTTTAATGCCCTGTTCCCACAGTGGTCTCCCTATGGAACCTACTGCCCAGCAAGTCCGCTGTAGTCACCTGGATGGAAATGGGAGACTATCAATCCCAGGCAGCCCTCACCTGTACACATTCTGTGTCTAAACAGAAACTCTCAGATATAGCCTGGCCCCACCAAAGGTTTTGCAGTTCCCTTTCTCCAAAGATTTCAGCAGAAATATAAAGGTGTGCAAGTCAGGACTGCCACTCAGCTACAGATCTGGGTGAGTGCCAGCGGGCAGGTGTTGTTTGGGGTCAATGTAGCCTAGTTTAGACCACTCTTCTGGCAAACCTGTGCCAACCTTCCCCGACCTGTGATCAGGACTGCTACCCATGAGGCACTTTCAGCAATAATGGGAGAACTAATCTTGCCATCCATTCATTCTAGGTTTCCCCAAGGAGTTTCAATCCATCCTGAAGGTGATACAGGTACCAGCCACAGGCCTGGAATCTTAATGTTGGTTTGCTGAATGGGGCTTGGTGTCAGCATGTGTGATCTGCTGAATAGGGGCTTGGTAGTAGGCATGGGACTCTGCTAGTTCTCTGAAAGTTACTTGTCTTGCCTCCGCAGACATCTATGAGTGGAAACGTCTTACAGACAAGTGGCTCATGTGTTTCCCATGTCACAACAGCTGCTACCATGTGGTCTAGTCACATATGCAGAGGGCCAAAAGTCTCCCACTGTAGTCTAGTTAGTTAGAGGAAACAAATAGATCAAGTAAACCTAGCCTGTTCTCAAAAGCTGAAGAGGTGCTACAAAGTTTTGTTTGATCTCCTACACAAAGTGGTTAGGATTGATCATCCAGAGATCTAGGCCAGGACATCATCACTATGCAGAGGAAAGCGAGTACCGTCTCACACTCTCTCACGTTTCTCCAACCACCAGTGTTAGGAAAATATGGCTGGCTACTTTGAACTGTCTGGTACTAGGCATGGGTTGGAGGGCAAATTCTTCACCAAGAAAAGGATGTTTAATCTAAACAATAGGAAGACCCTGACAACTCTTGGGCTTCACTTCTGCTTGTTTTTCATGTTCTCAAAAACAACCTGAACTTTCTGCTTTCTCCAGAAAGCAGCTGCAGTGGTTATGAATGGAGGCACCCTTCCAGGCCATATCATCACACTAAACTTCCTGCAGTGCACTCTGCACTTGCAGTTATGTAGTATTGGAATTCCAACTCTTCAACCCAGAGTTATCTGAAGAAGCACATCTTTCCATGCAAGCCTACCCAGGAGATCTGTTTCGCCTAAAGGTTCTCCTCTGAATCCTGCCATTTGGAAATATGGTAGGTGGCCAGTTGGAAAGGGGTTGTTTTAGACTGTGTTGCCCATGATTTAGAGTGGGATCTTCTTACGAGGTGAGCCCTTTGCCTGTGCTCAGATGGGCAGTGAAGATGAAAACCAGCTTTTAAGAACTGTGCCTTCTCTCCGGCAGTCTTCTTTTAAGAACTATTTTATCCTGTTAATTTGCCCTTCTGTTACGTAAGCCACCTTTCCAAAAATTAGCATAAGTGAAAAGCAATTAGTAAATCCTGAAAGTCCAAGGGTTTTTTTGTTGTTGTTCTCAAGAAATTCCTGCAAGGCTGAAGTCTGTCCATCTTTGTACTCAAGAAGCTCAGCTCTCTTTGCCAATACAGCCTATTTAGTAAGTACACCTACAGCGTCATATTTCAAAAGCCAACCTCCTCAGTCATCCACCTACATCCTGCAGCTAGAGCCCCTTTCTACACTTCATGAAATGTTCAGGTCAGGTACAGGGTGGGGAAGGTGAGATAGGATGATAGCAGGTAGATTCCACCTACACGACCTGGCGTGTCAAGGACACTCCACATAATAGATACAGGTACTAGAAGAAATGAGAAGAGCTACACTGTGAGAAGAAACATCCTGCCCACTTACCGATGACAACTTGGAATAGAGACATAACCAGAATGTCCCTCTCTCCCTACTGACTCTGGGCCCTTAATGCAGCTTGGAGATGGTGCCTGTTTTGGACTCGTACAGCTGCCAGAACCCCAACCCTAGCATGCATGGGTACCAGTTTTCTCGGCTGAGAGATTCAAGGAACTGAAGTTAGAACAAGTACGTTAATAGGATCTGGCCCCCACTCTGCCTCCACTAAAAAAACACATCATCATCATCATGTGCTGTCAAGTCAATGCAACCTTTTCCAGGGTTTTCTAGGTAGAGCGTACTCAAAAGCAGTTACCATTCCTTTCTTCTGGGGGCATCCTGGGATTGTGAAGCTCGCCCAAGGCTACACAGGCTGGCTCTACTCAAAGGAGACACAGTGGGGACTCAAACTCCCAACCTCTGGCTCTGAGATCAGATGACTAAACCACTGAACATATATAAATAAACAAATGCCTACACAAATATTTATAGTGTGTAAATATTCCCAAGTATGCAAAACTGCCAGCCCTGGAGCAAATTTGGGAGCTGGAAGCTTTGCCTAAGTGTCAGTATTTGTCAAATCTTTCAAAGCTTCCAAGGTACACCACAGTGATTATCTTCTATTATGAGCAGGCCAAATTGCAGAAGTCACACGCTGTGGCTTTGGCCAGGATTGTTGTCCCTCTGCCTGTTTTTTTTTTTTTTTGCAGTAGTTGTTTCTTCACACTCACAGATCCCAACATTTGCAACTTCCTAATGCACTCTGCACACAGAAACATCCTTTCTTATCAACAGTCAATCTTAGACAGAGGCTTCAAGGCACAAAGAGATGGACAGAAGCTGCTTACCACCTCATAATGATGACCACACTGGCTAGAATTATAAGGGAAAAGCCACAAGGATTACATCAAATTGCCAAGATGACACAACAGGAAAACAACAGCAGCAACTGGGGTGCTATAAACTGAGATGCTGTACACAATCCAATATCTGCTGGACTATCAAAGCACAGAGATGTTTGTCAAGACGTTACACACCAAATTTCAGAGGCTTTTAAGTTTTATAATTAAAAGGAACAACCTACATGCTTAACCATGTCCCGGAAAACAGGGTCAAATTTGTTAATGAACAGGAATTCATTAAGTGCTTCTCCGGAATTGCTCAACATATGCAAAAGCAGCAACACAAGAAAGAGCAACTCAATTTTTTGATTTCCTGATTCTGGTCCACCTACACAGTAAACCTTAATACAGGTCGATGCTGAGGCAACCAGGGCTACTTGGCTGCAATGTGTTCATCTACATGCAAACCCCACTGGACACAGTGAATATCCTGTTTTGAGTGAATGTAGACTGTGCTATTAGATCTGTATTCACACACACCATAAACTGTCAGCATAAAGTAATTTTGCAGTAACAAATAAAATAAAATTAACCATTTGTAGAAAACTGGTGTTCTTTGACTTCTACCCCAATTCTCTCTGTTCTGTCATGGATCTCATCACAAGTGTACATATTCTTAACATACAATGGTATCCCCCCCTCCTCCTTGTTTAGTCATTTCTTTTTGAATAAATTATATCCTTCACTGAAATCGTCCTGGTAGATGTAATCAATTCAGCAAATTAAACTCTACTCTGAAAAGCAATGGAGCAAAAAACTAGATTTACTTTAGGTACAAATAACTGAAAGCCCTGGAACTGATTTATTTAATTTACTAATTTATTTAAAATATTTTTATCCTGTCTTTATGGAACTGATTTATTGAATTTACTTATTTATTTAAAAGTATTTTTATCCTGTCTTTCTTCTTAAAAAGAACCCATGAGATCCATGATGAGAATGCAGGAAGCATGTTAATGTCAAACTTGGCAGAGATTGAGGCCAAGAGCCCTGGGGATTGGGTAGGGAATGTAAACTGTTCTCCTTATCAATCATCTTCCTTCTATCTGGACTAGTTGGGGGTGGAGCTGGGACATTCAGTTATTTTAAGGACAGAAAGTCCACTGAAGAAAATACTGAGAAGAATTCAAGCTTTTAAAGTTTAATCTTCTTTGATGGCCTACAGATATTAACAGATTCTGACGTCTCCAAGGGCTGCACACGTTTCTATAGGGCAACCAGTCACAAGACTCAGACAATTTTCCACTGCCAAAGTTTTGCCTTAGTATCACAAATCTGGAATGGGTCTTTCAAGATCATCTAGTCAAACTCTGCTCAATGCAGGACGCCACAACAAGGAATGACTTTCCAGCCTATGCTTAAATACCTCTGTGAGACCAGAGGCGAGGCGATAAAAGCTCTCGCCAGAGTGTCGTCCTCCCTTAGGAAGTAAAAGGAGACTCAAACAGAGACTACAACTCCCCGCGTCGTGGTCAGGCACCAGGGAATAGACACCCGTGAATTGGAACGGGGTTGGGTGAGACTCTCGGTGGCCACTCAGACAGAAGCAGAAAAGGCGGGAACGAGAGAGAGGGAAAGACCATTAGTAGAGGCGGGACATGGGGATATAAAAGGAGAACGAGACACCATACCCGGGGGCTGGGGATTGATATGGGTGGAAGATCCCTGGACAGGGAGGTGCAAGAAAGTAAGAGTGCCTCGGGAAGAGGCTGATTATAGGAGAAGGAGGGGGTTATCTCCCAAGCAGTCATTTTGGGGAGAGTCCAAAGCCAAAGAGTGGCAGAGGTGTTTAAGAGAGGAAAAGGAAGTGGTGGAAAGAGAAGAACGCGAAAGGCGAGCATGGTGTCTGGAGGAGGCTTGCCGGAGGATCTATTTACAGGACCTTGGGACCCCTATGCCGAGGGAGTCGACCCCTTTGACCAGGAGGGAAGAGACGAGGAGACACAACCCCTGATTGAGGTGGACGTTGACAGCAGAGACCAGGTAGAGACTAACCCTTTCACCAAGGGTCCCTGGTACAACCCTAGTTATAACCCCTTCCTACAAGATTTATGGACACCCTCGTTTGACCCGTTGGCGACGAGAGAAAAGAACACTGACAAGTTTAATGTTGATACTTCTTTGTTTGATGTTCCAATAAAACCTAGTTCTCTTTTCCAAAAAACTGAGCATCCCGTCTTTGTGTCCAACAAGCCTGAGGTTACACTTGAACCCTCACAACCTCTTGCAAAGAAGAACTCGCTCGCTCTTAAGGCAGCCAGTTCATTGCTCAATAAAATCCAATCTTAAGAAATTTCTCCTAATGTTTAGCTAAAATCTACTTCCCTAACATTTCCATCCACCAATATAGCCTTGTCCTGAGCACACTATTCTGTCCCACCTATTGCATGACAGCCTTTCAGATATTTGAAGGCCACTACCTTTATAAAGTCTCCCATTCATTCTCTCTTCCTCAAGCTAAGAACACCTAATTCTTTCTGAATGTAGTTTTCAGACCCTTCCACTCAACCACCCAATTCTGGCTGCTCTCTGCTGCACTCAAATTTACTAATGTCCTTCAAATGCAGTGCCAATAACAGGACCGACATGCAATTTGGGCAGCTCAGCTGAGTTTTTACACGCTTTCTAAAAGTCCAGACGGTAGGCGCCTGGGACACCTCCACAGGTAGCACATTCCACAAAGATGCGGCACCACTGATAAGGCCACACCCCTGGTCTTGGACATTTTGGCCTCCATCAGGGTGGATACCCACAGCATCAAAGCCTGGGAGGTGCAAGTGGTAAAGGTGGTTGTTCTCAGGGAGAGGCGCTCCAACAAGTACTGAGGTCTCAAACTGTTCAGGGCTTTATATGTCAGTATTAGGAGCAGCTACACAGTAACATTTTTAACAGCACTACTGCTACTTCTCCAACCCATCTCCCATGTTCCTATGAGCAAAGCTTTGCATGCAGCACTGCTAAAACAATTTAGAAAATTGTTAGCTTGGCAAATTTTGGGGTGATTTAGTCAGACCTTTTAGGATTCACCAATAGTGTACTCCAAGTTAATACAGAGACAAGTCCTGCAGTGCTCCATAGAAGTGAAGGCCACAGGGAAGCTGGTACCTTCTGTATCACAGGCGCTCCAGTAACATGAGCTAAGCAGTAGGGCATGCACTGAAAGAAAGTGGGAGCAGCATCATACTTAACCAGACCCTGTCCACAAGCATCTCTCTCTCTCTCTCTCTCTCAATCTCTCTCAATCTCTCTTATCTCATGTTTGTGTAATCTACAGCATAAGATTGTACTTCTTAGTTTATGTGGAAAGAAATGAGACTCTGTGTGTGTGTGTGTGTGTGTGTGTGTGCGTGTGCGTGCGTGCGTGAGTACACACACACACACACACACACAAACATATATACATATACAGGTACATCTCTATATATACATCTCTCCCTCTACACACACACACACATATGTAAATAAGTGTATAGATAGTTTCTGCACAGTATTCGAGGGCTATGGAGGTGGGCCTTCCCTTCTTCTGTTTATCTCTTTAGGTCAGTAAAAAACCACAATGAACACTGAACAGCCACTGAAAATGGGATGGAAAGCAGGGTTCCAATGACCTTCCCAGCATGAGTTTGCTTCCAGTTCCAAAAGCCATCTCTGTCACCTTCCCCGCAAGTTCATCTTTCTCAACATCTACTCAATGACACAAAACTTTTTCATATGGCCACCCATTTATTTCCACCACGCTTCTTACCGGTCCCCTCATGACAACCTGTTTGGATATCCATGCATTTAGGCCGGTCCTCATTGTCACTGTGAAGCCAATTCTTGTTAAAGATGACCTGCTTTGATTATATACAGATGACCTTGAACTTGACTGAGTAGCAGCACGTGTTGCAGAAATGGATCCAGGTTGTTAAGCAACGCAGACTGCTTGAAATACTTGCTTGTGCGTTGGTGGAAAAGTCTTGCTGAGGCCCACTGACACCACCACACTCATTGGATGGCACACATTTGATTGTTAGAAGTGGGCTAGGATTGGTCAGCAAGACCCCTCCTCCAAGCACTTAACAGGACCATAAAACTATTCTTCATGAGGTCAGTCATACTGAAGTTCCTTGCTTCTGTTACTGCAACCTTGCCCTTGTGTCTCCTGGCCTACTCATCTTGACTTCTTTCCTTACCTGAAAGAGTAAGTTCCATGAATATATATTCTGTAACAGACCCTTTTTGCCACATCTTAAGCTCTCTCTCTCTTCTTATTCTGTCTATCCTCTTTACTCACAGGATGCTCCCTAGTAAACCTGAAGAGAGAACATAGCCACACCTGCACACAGTACAGCACCGCATACAGCACACCAATGTAAGCAATGGAGAGACCAGTAGAGAGTGGCAGCCAAATTTAGCTCTACCCAGGACAGGTCTTAATTTCTGCTCCAGCTATTGTGTGGCCCTAAAGATGCTTTACTAATGTGCCATCTTCTGGGAAAAAAAACAAACAAACTGGCAGGCCTTCCTCTGAAGCAAGCACTTTCACACTGCCCTAAAGGCTTAACAGAGAACGGGTGGGAAAAGGGGCAAAAGTCCAGGATTGTGATACAGGGTGGGGGTGGCATCTGTCCTGCCCTGGTGCCTTAAACATTGGCACCTAGTCCCCCAGTCTGGGGTGTTCTCAGCTGCTCCCTCCCTCCTTTCCCTCTCATCCAAGGAGTCTCCCGTATCCACACTTCCTCTTCTGCCTCAGTGGGGTTTCATTCTCCACATAAGAAGAGCTGGGACTCAAGCCTCCTTGCCATACCCTTGACTCCTAAGCTATTAAAGCAGCTATTTCTGGCTACGAAGAAGTCGGCACTCCACACATGCCCAGAGGCACTCTCGCCAGGTATCCTATTTCCATGCAAGCGGAACGGCTGAACCGTATCGACGGGCACTCCGTCCTCCTCTGCCGCCCCCCATCTTCCACCCCACTCAGACTCACCCACCGCCGCTGTTTTCCCCGAGCTCCACCGCGGCCCTCTGAAGCCCATGCCGCTTTCCGTCCACCTCTTTTCCTCGGCGGCGCCGCCGATACAAATTACGTCATCACGCCGCGCCCACGGACTCGGAGCCGACCGCCGGCCTGCGGCGGGGAGTGGGGCGGGGCTGGGTTGCCGGGGTAACCAGAGGCGCCAGACTCACCCACCGCCGCTGTTTTCCCCGAGCTCCACCGCGGCCCTCTGAAGCCCATGCCGCTTTCCGTCCACCTCTTTTCCTCGGCGGCGCCGCCGATACAAATTACGTCATCACGCCGCGCCCACGGACTCGGAGCCGACCGCCGGCCTGCGGCGGGGAGTGGGGCGGGGCTGGGTTGCCGGGGTAACCAGAGGCGCGGCGCGG